TCAATTCTTCATAAAAACTGGAAGGCTACCAAGATGTCTATTTGACAGTTTTATCAATGGGTATACCACCGAGGGTGCATAAATGAGGTTTTAAATTTTGATGGCTGTAGACTAGAATATGGCCTGCCAAAAAGACTACTCACAGAGTGATGTTACTGAGAAAATAATGGTCGAATGACAAAAATAACAGAGAAACATTTCTCAACGTACATTTTACAGATATCTGTGAAGTTTGCGAATGACGTCTTTTTTGTACCTATCCTGACCACTTGTGGAGGTTTCATGACAAACTTCTTCTTCTCCCCTGTCACCATTTCAGGATTTTTGGCTCGCATTATGTCAAACACTCGTGTTAATAACTGTGGACATTAAAAAACTAAGCTTGACAAATTTGTTCTTGGGTTATGCCTTGATGATAATCTACCTTAAATAGAAAGATGCTGACATGCAAAAGTGAAAGTTACACATACGTTGCACTTTTTAACGTCACACAAACTATGCAAAATGAGCTATAGAATAATTTATCATAGCTCTTCATGAAGTTGTTGATTCTGTGGATAAAATCCCATTATGATACCACTCAAATGTGTTCTCATCAATGCAATCAAACTAATTTTAATGCATTAACAAAATGATACATTTGTATGTCAGAGCAGAAAATAGAACCAGTGGATTACTATTAGTCAAGTATAAACAAACGGCTTGCAAAGCAAGCACCAAGATGAATAGGTACCTCTTCATACGTATAATCTCTATCACTCCATGCGGGACCATTGTCATCATTGTCATCTATGAATTCAGCTGAATAAAGGCAATAATTTATGTGTTAAATGGTCACTGTCTTAAAACTGTGGAGGGACACCACAATCCCTTCTTCTTAAGCTCCACTCTAAGGAGTACATGCTCGCATTTCCTCTCAAAAGTAACTTGCACATTGGTCACCTTTCCTGCATTATGAGAAGTGCATCGTGCAGAATGCAATTCTCATCAAGCACTATGGCAATCACATAGAAAGTCAGTGATTTTGGCATACACTAGACCATGTCATATCCAAGGTGCATAGCATTTAAACTGCCAGGGACACGAGAGCATAGCCATTAACACAGTGAACTAACCATCATCTCCGTCAGAATCTGCACCATTTAGTGTTCCTTTGGTATCTGTATTGTCAGTCATGTCAGATTCATCAACCACAACCTGTGTGATAATATTACAATAAAACTAGCTAAAAAGCCACACTCTAAGGTAAGCTGCTTTAGAAGTGTGATTGAGAAATAAACATTGATAAGGCAGAATACTTTAAATATTAGTTTTCACTAAAACAGCATATCCCATTCAGGCAATTGACTAGATGAGTTTACTGCACTTTTCACAGACACGAAAATTCTGAAGTTCAAAAGCCAACTGACAATTGCGTTTTTCGCTGCCGTCAATCATCTTAACGGACCTCTTAGGAAACAAAACTTTACTTTAACGGGTTCAAAAGGTCATGGTTTGTGATTGGTGGATTTCGATCTGTTTTGTGTGTTACTGTGTTTCAAGGTTCGTTGCTTGTGATCGTAATTATGATTGACGGCAGCGAAAAACGCAATTGCGAAGGCGGCTTTTGAATTTTTGCATGTTTGTGAAAAGCGCAGTAAAAAAGTATTTAAACAAGATTAACAGATATATACAAAAAGTAATCCCTTGAAAAAAACAACCAAGAAATCATCATTTTTACATAATAAAAGGTTGTAACAATGATCACCATAAGTACAAGTAGTAGTATTTTTTTCATTCACCTTCTTCTTTTTTTTCTTTTTCTTCTGGGAAAAATCAAAGTCTATGTCAGCATCTCCACCAGTGTCCTTTTCCCCATCTTGCCCTGCGGTCTCTTCTGTCTTGTTGTCATTGGATACATCCTAATGACAAAATGTTCAAGTCATAACTTGCAAAAAAACAGGACTGGTTTGGACTGCACTGTACTTGTACTGTATTTTAAATTGTTTTAGTAAAACAAGTACTTCTAAGTATGTAAAAATAAAGAAAACCATAATAAAATAAGGTTGTATGACCTGAAAAAACAAAGCCATTACTTCCTTGTTTGTAGCGTTGAAATTATTGTTGCATCAGCTTTATTACAAATCCTTTATTTTTATTTTTTAGCACACTCACTGGCAGTGCATCATCAAGAGCTTCCATGTCGTACGGTTTCTTTTTCTTTTTCTTCTTCTTTTTCATTCCTGAAAAGTCATCTAGATCCAATATGTCTGCAAAACAGAATGTGTGTATCTTCAAGTTTGGCTCGTCTGGTTGGACAAGTGCTTCATGAATTCAAGCCCTCTGAGTCAAAAACTACTTGTCTCAGAAGGGCAGACAAGTGACAGTTTCTTATCCTTATTTATTCATTTCATTTAAAGCGAAAAGATCAAAAAGTGATATTATTTTTACATAATATATTTCATGAAGCTCCATCCTCTCATCAAAATTTTAATGTTAAAATATCAAATCATGCATACCAGTTCAGAGTAACAAAATAAGACATTAAAATTTACGTTTACCATTAATTTTCAGGTAAACACCCTAAAATGAAAGGCAAAGATATACCCACAAGCTTCCCTCCATTGCAAAATGCATAATGGCATAAATTCTCAAAGAGCTTTTTAATTTATTTGTCTGGCATGACAAAGTTTAGGCGCCTCCTTTTAATTTCAGGGCCAATCGAGAACATAACAAACGTATCGACCCTGATCAATGGCACCAATATCCACGATAGGTACAATACTACTAGCTTCTAGATCAAACGGAACTTACAGAATGAGAGTATAGGCTTTGCTTACTACTTTAATTTGATGGCTATCTAAATTAAAATACCTTTTTCTTCTTTTTCATCTGTTGCGTCTTTGATTTGATTATCCCCCTCAGTGGTTTTTTCGCTTTTCTCATCGACGTTAGAAGGTGGATTTGACTCCTCAAGGGCGTCAAGATCTATAGGAATCTTCTTCTTCTTTTTCTTCTTTTTCATTGTTGGATCAAACATCTAAATGTCCCGAGGAAACGGTACAACAATAGCCCATCAAAACCGCACTAAGGCTTGTATATACATAAAAAAAGGCATTGTAATACATGAATTATACTCACCGCTTCGTCTTCTGCCATTTTTGCGCTTTATTTTGGAGATATCAACAGTTTTGTGTCGAGAAGTTCTCAAAAATATTTGTCCACGGATTGTAGGAAAGACTTTCCACATGCAGTTGCGTCAGCTATCTGCGCATGCGTAGAGGGCAGGATAGTTCCCAGTCCACTAGCGCGTAATCCATTTGGCGGATTTGTGTTATTTTTAGCTACTGGACGCAATAAGTTATACTTGGACAACTACAAGTTTTAAAACCGAGAGTTTACATTCCTTTCGAAACATTTTACTTTCTGAGGTAAAACAAGGTCGGCCCAGTTTGTTGGTGCAGTTCACAGGTTTTTTTCCTCGCAGTTATCCGGGTATACCGAGTATACGTTTGTGTTTTGGTCAAGCGCATTTCTGGAAGCCCTCCTAAACCCCCTTACGAAATTGTACCTTCCACCATTTACACAAACCACCCGGGTGAAAATATTGTGCAGAAACATAAAACTATAAAAACTGACGTTGTGGGAGAACAACCGGCCGCAAAGCATATCCAAATCAGCTGAAAAGACCAAGAAAGAGTTGAAAAATTGCACGAACCATTTGATTTTCCAACAGGAATTTCCGGTTATTCTACGATGTGAATGATCAGTACGCAAGGGCTTAAAAGCGGAAGTTTACGGTACTGACACCGTTGTTGCCTTCAGCCTTTTTGGCAAAACTGGTTTGATTCGATACCTCCTTAGATTTTTCGAACCCCTGTTTCCACTTCCCTTGGAGGTTCGAGAAAACGGGATTCGAAAACAGTTTTAAATAAAGCCTGAAATGACTAATAAAGCTAAATTAACATTTATTTCAGATATGGAAGTCATTTTATACAGTTTTCTGTGTTATACTGTTGGAAATTTTTTAGAATTTATTTATGGATACACATGAAAATTGGTGTGCGATCGCGTATATTCTGATATATGCCACGAATTAAGTGGCTGACCACTTGGTAAAGGCTAGGAAAAGGGAAGTAATATTCAGTGATCTTCGCGTTTAATGTCTAGTGTTATAAGTAATGGTCAAGTCACTGTCCTTTAATTCTGGTCCGTGATTCAGACAGAAGATGGATACAGCCCCATAAGGGTTAAGTGAAATTTCAAAACAAACTCCTCTCAGTCCAGAAACCCGTCACTAAAACTCATAAAACACTATCAAGCTTGTACTTAGAGAATTGTCGTGAGAACAATCGTCCATTGCTGTCACTAGTAAAAGTCTTTTCACAATTCAGAGCCGCAGTAGAAGTTGCCCGGGCGTTTGTCGTTAATTTCACTTGGTCAGCGGTTATTACGCCTCTCGAACGATTTGAATACCGCAATCTTCGAACCCAGATCTCTCAAGGTAAAGCGGTCTGGAGTGCGATTGGAAACGAGATCGTTATATCTGCCTACTTCACTTCATTGCGCGTGCACACTAAAGAAGCGCGTGCCTTAAAAAAGTCCTTGTTTGGCGCATTACGATTAACCAAAGACTGAGGATGAATTTTTCAAAGGTGGGAAATGTATGTTTGTTATAACTGATACTTTTAAATCAATAAATTGTTTAATTATAATCAATTAGGTGAATTAGCTACAGATATGCAACGGTGATGACGCACCGGCTCTTGCCTCTGATAATTAGAATTCTACGTCATAATGGAGAAATTCGCCGAAGAAAATCTGTTTTAAACTGTTTATTCGGTATAAAGATGTAGCCCATGTGTGGGAAGAGCTTTGAATGCGGTCGAAAAGGGGATCGTATCTGAAACGAAGCTTAAAAAGAAAATTCGCCATGGATGATAGTTTTGTGTTTTCGGATGAAAAGTACTCTAAAGACGTCCTGAAGAGATTGAGCGGGCTTCAAAAGCAGGGCATCATGTGCGATGTAACGATCAAAATCGAGGAGGAAGAATTTCACGCCCACAGGAATATTCTTTCTGCATGTTCCGACTACTTTTTCGCCATGTTCAACGGAAATATGAAAGAGCGACACGAACGTGAGATCTCGATAAGTGGCGTCGACAAAGAGAGTATGAAGATGATTATAGGTTTTATATACACAGGAGAAATCACGTTGGACTGGAATAACGTTGAGCCTGTCCTACAAAGCGCAAACCTGATGCTCGTACAATCTGTAAAAGACGCGTGTTCTCGTTTTCTTGAAAGCAGGCTCGACGTCAAAAACTGCATCGGTATTCAAGGCCTAGCGGAAGCATACGCATGCCATAAACTTTGGACGATAACTAACAACTTTATTTTTCAAAATTTTTCACACGTAGCCGAGAGTGAAGAATTTATGAACTTGGACGAGAAACAACTCGAGGTTTTGTTGCAGAGCGACGACATTTCCGTGGAAAGTGAGGAAAAAGTTTACGAAGCTCTCCTTGGCTGGATAAACTACGACCCAGAGAACAGACGGGAATTTTTTCCGAGCTTGATGGAATTTATTCGTCTCCCCCTCGTGTCACCGTACTACCTAGTCGACGTTGTCGAAAGCGAGGAGCTATTTAACACTTCTGAGCGTTGCAAGGAGCTTCTTCTAGAAGCGCAACATTACCACTTGTTGCCGGACCGACGCCAGCTTCTTGACAGCTCACGAACAAAGCCACGAAACTATGAACGATTTCAAGAGATCCTCGTTGCCATGGGAGGGAATGGAGACTATCATAATCAGAGTACAGGTCGGAAAAAATGTTAGCACAAGGCCCGTTTACAAGGCGATTTTTGCGGTGATTTCTGAAAAATATAGGCAAATTTCCGACAAAAAATCCACTTGAAAATTGCGCCTAAGATCGCAGCCAAAATCGCCAGTGTATACGGGCTCTTTGACTGAGCATCGCAGACTGGACGAAATCAAGAAATTAAACATTATGACCAATCATGACCAATCGCAATAGGCAATGACGATCGATTTGGCAGATCAGATCAGTCAAAGCAAACGCGCGCAACATGGGAAAACCGCGTGCGGACACCTCGTTTGGATTTGATTTTGATTTTACCAGCCAAACATAACAATGGGAAAAACAACGAAAACAACAACAACAAAATTACTTCGCCCGATCGGCCAGGCTACTTTCTGAGATACACAGTGACAATTCTGAAACAAATTGTCCGTCATTCAGATGTGGTTAAAATGGCTTTGATACTTTAGATGAATAGTACGCGTAGTTAATGTTGAAGTTTATTTATTTATGCACTTTAATTGTAACAAGCTCTCTGTGTTTTCTTTCAGTTTATGGATTCAATGTTGTGACTCAACTCTGGTCAGATCTTCCAAGATTCTCAAAGGATCGTGGTTACCATGGTATAGCCAGTTTTGGGGGACAGCTTGTTGTTACTGGAGGTTATTCCAACATTAACTCTGAGACACTCGACTTAGGTATTAAATTACATTATTCTCTAAAGGCAGTGAAACGATTATAAAACATTTTATTGCTAATCTAAATAATCATAAAACACAGAATAGGAGCGGACATCTCGTTTATTGATGCACAAAATGAAGCGAGCGTAGAGCATTACAAAAAACAGCGTTACATGTACAGTTCTATAAACTGAGGGACAACTACAACACTAACTAACACAAAAAATTACGGTTGACAGAGATCTCTCGAATGGCTCTTGCATAGCTTAACAAACCTTAAATGGGTCTACTAGTCCCTTGAGACACCTTACAAGCTCGCCTTGAATACTTCTGCAGTGATTATATAACGTAGTATACATACTCTTGTGAAAGAAGTAAAATGTTACGAAATATATTAGTGCTAAACCACAAAGCAGAATGGAAACCACTACTCAGTTTGTTTTTGCCCCCTTTGATAGGGAATTTTGTGTTTTTGCTAACTGAGTATGTAAACCGTATCGAACTACCTGTGATAAGCAAAAAATTTACCAACGGATTGGAAAGGTAGTTTTGAACTTCAGGAGCCTTTATTTGGGAACCTTACTGCCAGTTCTAGCCTGAGAAAATAGCCGACATTTCGCGACGCCACCACTAATTTCCCCGCGCAGGAGCCGATGCTCCTGCCCCGCGAAATGACGTCTGAGAATAAAGCGCAGAAATTCCATACTGATGAAGTGTCACTATCCAGATCTGGGAAATGCTTTTGATCGGTTGAAGCAAATTTCCAGCCAATCAGAAGCACTTGCCAGATCTGGGTAGTGACACGTCATCAGTATGGAATTTCTGTGCTCGTTTCTGAGACGTCATTTCGCGGGGAAACCAGTGGTGGCGTCGCGAAATGTCGGCTGTTTTCTCAGGCTAGATCTGGCAGTTAGGACCGAATTTCAATCCTTCAAGACCAATAGCGGAATCGCCGTTTAACCGCCACACCATTTATAATAGCATTGGAAATACACTAGGGGTGCCTATTATTGTTCTTGGGAATGAGGGTGTGGAGCTACTGAGGGGGGAGGGATGAGGAGAGGAGAGCGAGTGTTGTAAAGGAGTGGGCTTCTACCTTGGTGTCCAGTAATATTAAGGCTTGAGAAAGTGAGTGTTGTTTTGGGGAGATCATAAGCAACAACATTTAGAATCAATTTTATGTATCCTTTCGTTTAAGCCCAAAGTTACGATGTGCGTCAAAGGGAATGGCATAACATGCCAAATATGCTTGGGAGGAGAAGCAAACATGGATCGGTGGAGATTGACGGTCATGTTTACGTAGTTGGCGGATTTGACGGACAGACTACTTTAAATTCCATGGAATCTTTCGGCCTTCAGACCACCAGGTAACAAAATCATAAGAGACAACATTTATCAGGGCTGTCATTAAGAGGTGGGGGCAGGGGAATTCCCCCGGCTACTAAGAACATGCCCCCCCCCCAGCTACTTTCATAGGAAAACAGAAGAAAAATAGAACCAAAAGAAATCCCTAGCTGGTTTAATTCTCCGCCTACTTTTTGTGTTTACCCGGCAACTCGAAATCTTAGTGACAGCCCTGATATTTATCCCTTTCCAGCTTTGCAAAACTTACCAAACCTAAAATTCACAAAGTAATTGTTATCAAAGGATTTCGATAGACTCAAAAGTTAGAAATGCTTTACATGATCTCATTTATTGATCTTGACCCAAAACGGTTTATAAAGTAAGGTCATTGGAAGAGAATATAGGCATTGTCCAGCGTTCTACGGCTGAGATGAATTAACAAGGGATAAGCACTCGGGCCTGGAGTGGTCAACTATGAACAACTCGTCCTAAAGTAAGGCTCATTTTCCACTTTCGCCTTAGGTGGCGAGTCAGAGCTCCCATGCCAACGAGAAGAAGATGTATATGTGCCGTGGCTCATGGAAAGAACATTTATGTCATCGGTGGACACGATGGATCAAGTATTCTAAATACAATAGAGTGTTACGACGCCACAAGGTAAGATAAGGTTATTAGATAAGTCAAGTTATTTTAGCTGTTCATCTGATCATGAGTATAAATTATTCACTATATATCATAAGGATATGCCGGACCCGGGGTTCGCGTTACGTTCTTTAACATGTTCAGCGCCGTTTTCCGGGGGAAGCGCGAGAAAAAGAATCTTTCGGAGAAAGAGAAGGGGGCGGTGGGGACAGGTGAGAAAAGTCCTCTCTCCCCTCCCTCCAACTTTATTCTACGCCACCCTATCAGTAAATCGGAGAGTAAAATACTTTAAAACCCCTAATTACTATATAATCTCATACTAAAATCAGGGAAGCTCGATCTCGTAAAAGAGCGAGAAAGTTCTTGGCATTCCATAAAACATTCTTTACTACTTGTGCTGATAAACTTGATAAGGTCATTCCATCTTATTAAGTGAAATTAATGCTGCTGCTATTTATCAATCTTTGTTTTACAGGGACACTTGGAGTTCCACAGAGGTACAGCCTATGCGCGACAGGCGTTCCTTCCCAAGCGCAGTTGTTGCAGACGATGAAATGTACGTCTTGGGGGGTTACGACGGCAACGATACGCTTCGATCTGTGGAGTGCTACAACTTCAACACGCAAGAATGGACCCAGGTCCCTCCCATGAACACCCCAAGATCCAATGCGGGCGCATGCGTATTTAACAATAAAATCTACCTCGTAGGAGGCTGGGACGGGATCAGTTTAAACTCCGTGGAGAGCTTCGACATCGCGACTCGGGTGTGGCAGCGAATGCCTTCCCTTCCTCGACCCACAACTGGTGTACGATGCTGTTTTTTATCCTTCCAGTCTACGAACGAACAAAAGCCCAAGAGCAGAGCAAGTCGCGGGCACATGTGTATTATCTGCTAATGGGTTTAAGCGTGTGTTTGGCTTTGAAAATGCTCTTAAATTAAAATATACTTTTATGGTCTTGTTATCAATGCCTCACACGTTCGTTTGTAGACTGAAGGGTTATCTCTCTTTTCTCTTCCAAAAACTGAAATTAGCGTTCACAAGACATTAGCTGTAAAACGATTAGCTATCCACAAATTATTTTTGCCGGATTGATTGTGACTGGTTTGGAACGTCCGGCGTGTTTCGTGATTGTATCGTAAAAAAGGACATTGAAGTAACTCAACTTCAGGAATACAATAAAGTTAATAAATACAACACTTGGTTGACTTTTAATTCACAGCTATATTATGAATTGGTCATCCACTTTCAGTTAAATACACTTGAATCCATATTACACTTTGCAAAATCTGGCTTTATAATTTTTAAAGAAAACAAATCCCAAAGCAAAAGTACGCTCGAAGAAAAACGGAAATCGAAACGTCATTCCTTTTTGCTAACCCAAAGCACAAGTTAGTCTTACTCAAGTGAATCACTGAACTTAGCCTCACCGGGAGAGTCATCAGTGCACAATGAATTCGAACTAAGCCCATCGGTTCCGTCATTTAAGGGTGACAAATTCTCCTCAGGGTTCTCTTTGCTTACGGATTCTGCAAAGGACTCTTCTGTGAGCGACCTGTTGGCCCGCGTATCACTTGACCACTCTGAAGGACTTATACTGGAGTTTTCATGACTGCAATTCTCATGCATTGTTTGTAGTTCGCTAGCATTTTGTTCGCACGAGTGACTGGTTTCGCTCAGTTTAGGAACACTGCCGTCTTCAGCCACTTCTTGTGTCGTTGAACTTCTCTCCTCGAGAAGTTTCTCCAACAGCGATTCGCTTGAATCACTTGAAGCCAACTCGTTCACTTCGCCAAGACAATGGCGTGAATTCGACAAAGATTGGTCTTGGACGTTTCTTGACGCCTTCTTCATTTTAACACAAGCCCCTTCAACTGAAAGGCGCTTCTCCTTTGAAGAACATTTTAAGAAGCTTCTGTTAGATCCAGCAGTCGACATAACATGCTTTGAAACTTTTTGTTCCTTTCTCGTTCCTGAGAAGTTTGCAGCGGATGAAGGCCTTCCGTTAGGGTCTTTTCGTTGTAGTGAAGAGCTATTCTTAGCGCTAGAGGTCCTAGTGGGTAATGAGTCCTTCTGATCTGAGCTTCGTGAAGAGAGTTTTTGGTTTAAAGAGGTTGATGATGATAACGTTTTCCCACGGCCTGAGGCAGTAGAGTTGCGACCAGAAAGCGGTCTTTTGACCGTCATAGGATTTTGAGAAAATGAAGTAGACTTTGCCCTGCGATGGACTAACACTCCATCCAGGGGGAGTAGAAATACTCGTTGGTGTTTTATTCCACAGAAACAAGGTTGACTGAGCTTCAGACGTGTGGGCTTCATATTGGCTCATATTCGCCTTTGTTTTTTTACCTTTACTGGAGACGAAACCGCCTTTCTAAGTGGTCATCCGAGCTACGCAAAGGACTAGTTATTTTTCAAAACCTTCTTCCTCAACTATACTTTAGCCCAGAAAAATTAGTTAGGGGCTTGGGATCGAAATTGGGACCTCCGCCCTGACCAGCGCTCAAGACCACTACTCTACAACCTGAACTAAACCAGACCCATTGTGGGAATATAAACAACCTACCCGGAAAAAGTCCTATCGATTATAGTGTACTACTGAGCGTACTATAAAAGCATATCAGCTAACAAGTAAGACAATTAATAAACTAACAGTATCAAAACTTTGTATCAGGGAATCTTACCGGCACCGAGTTTCGCCTAACAGTATCCTTTTGAGCTCCACGCCGATTCCCTGAGTCAGTGAGGCCACTGAACACAGCCCCTATAGAAAAATTGTAAAGTGAAATACAAAGCCTAGAAAACACCCGACCGAAATGTTAAATTTAGAGTTCGGTCAACCTAAAGCCTCCTGAAGGCTTGAATGCATTAAGCACGCCCAAGATGCCCAAAAGAAAAGGAGAGAGAGAGAGAGGATAAAAAACTGAGACTTCTGGCAAGCGGGGTCGAAATCCGTCCAATAAACCCCGCTAGGGTATGTTAAATCAAGGGTTCAGCGTTCCTACCAACTTCTTTCATTGCTCGAGGTTAATTATTACCTTCCTTTATATCTCGTTGAGTAGGAGGCTTCAATCTTCTCCAGCCCTCCGATCGGGTCACTTTAAAGAGGTTGCATCTTATGAACTTCATGCAATCGCTGTGTAAACGCACGATCAGGTCGTCTACCTCCTATACCAAACCAAAAACATTTTGAACCATGAAACGGTGCATAAATAGTTACTCTGGTGATCAAACTACTAGGATTTATTTACCGCTTCTCTTTGACTATTAGTACGAGCAATCTCCGTTATAAGCTTTGGCCACTTTTGTATAGAGCTATCAGTAAGTATATTGTGGTTATATTAGTAACAAGTTCCCATAAGACTAGCTTTGTGCTCTCATCGACAGGTTCTTTCCGAGGAAACTGCCTTATATCTCTTCAGGCCATAGTAAGGCTTGAAGACCCTCTCACAATCTCACTTCACGCATTTTTCCCGCCTCAAGGGGTCATGGGAAAGGCGAAAATTAGCTTTTCACGTTTAGCCTTTCCAAGTGCCTTTGCATTTTGAAACCTTTCTTTTGTTCCTTTCCGCGGCAAACAAAAATATGCACGAATACTTTGCATTAAATCTGAAGAAACACCTAGGTACGAATCAGGCATTTTTCTTCCAATTTGCCTCGAAATTGTGTTAAACCATTGCGAAGCAAGTTCTACAAAGCGTTGCCTAGACAAACACTTCATGATATAACTAAGTCTCGCAAAAATTTTTTTTTGTAGCAAGCGTTGCAAGAATTGATTGGACTCGAAGTAGAAACAAGTTGCCTCAACTAAAACGTCGCAAAACATGTAAATCAGGCCCGCAAGAACGTCAAAAAGGCCACAGGATTAACAAAGTAAACTACAAACTCTAGACGTGTATCACTTTTTTTTTGTCCTTTTTTTTCTTGGCCTGGCTGTGCAGAAAATGCTTCTCACCTCCGAAAGGCTTTCCTTGTCTTCCTCTATGTTCCTTAGGTGAAGGAGCCTTTTTAACTTAAGAATGGCCCTAAGCTGATCACAACAGTTATCAATCGCGAGGTGCTTTTTCACCGCAGAAAGAATCTTCTCTAAAACAGGAATCGACCAGCCTACACCCTGAAATATAAAAAGTACAAGAAGATTGAAAAGCCTGATAAAATCGTTATTTGTAGACGCAGCTTGCACACGATTATAATATACACTTAAACAATTCGTGTACGATAGACCAGAGTAGTAGCGCGTTCTACTTAGGAAATTTATGCTGAAATTATCCCAGAACTACCCGGGTAACAGAGATTTTTCTCGCGCGCGTACACGGGTTGCTTCGGGAAGTCGGTCGGAGCCCGATCATGTTCGGCCAACGCACAAACCAACGAGGAGCGACACTTCACCAAAAACGAAGGCCGCGCATAAAAAGTCGCTGGGGTATACTCTCTAGAAAGGCCTATACGGGAAGGCTCCGCCTGAAAGGGAAACTTGTTTCAGGTTTAAGGTATATGAAGAGCAGAGATTTGTATTAGTTGAAGTCTATGAAAGGGAAGGGAAATCTGTCATTTCACTATGTTAAAGGACCCAAAGCATTTTATGACCGTGAAAAAGAGATGCAAAGTTCTAAAATAAATATGTGAAGTGGGTATCATTTGTCAATAGAAGGTATACGAAACCGGTCCCATTTCTCTCAAAAATGGTATATAAAAGGGTAAGGGGTTGGACCTCGTAGCGGAGCCTACCCGAATAACAATTTGTTGAGTACCCACCCCCCCCCCCTCTTCGTGAAGAGAGTTTTTGGTTTAAAGAGGTTGATGATGATAACGTTTTCCCACGGCCTGAGGCAGTAGAGTTGCGACCAGAAAGCGGTCTTTTGACCGTCATAGGATTTTGAGAAAATGAAGTAGACTTTATAGAGCTTCCAAACGCTACAGTGGCTCTGGTCGATGAAGGCCTTTTTTGAGAAACACCACTGGACGCTGAAGACATTTTACCTAAGTCCGATGTTTTACCACCGTGTGAAGACGCGGCTCGAGCCGATGAGGGTCTTTTATTCGTAAGTGAAAGGCCGCCAGTCGCACAGTTGCCGACTTTGGCCGTGGAGGGCCTTGGAGGATTAGTTGCGGAACTTCCTCTCCCCATTGTTCTTGTGCGGGAATCAAGGCCAACTCTTTGGGAAGGTTTTGTAGTTGCTGGCCTGCTTGGGGGCTGTCAGAAAGGGGAAAATAAAATGAAATACAGCCCATGTGTCAATGTATTACTATATATTTATCCACGACTACGAGACGGAAATGGGTGTGCAGCTCGAACTGTGAGCATGAGTGTTTATTGCCGTCCGAATAGCATCATAACTAAAGAATGATATACAAATATTCCTAAATAAAGTCATTCAGGCTAGCCTAGTTACGAAAACCCAAAAAGCCAATGGAAAAAATTGTGTGTGGCCCTGCGATGGACTAACACTCCATCCAGGGGGAGTAGAAATACTCGTTGGTGTTTTATTCCACAGAAACAAGGTTGACTGAGCTTCAGACGTGTGGGCTTCATATTGGCTCATATTCGCCTTTGTCTTTTTACCTTTACTGGAGACGAAACCGCCTTTCTAAGTGGTCATCCGAGCTACGCGAAGGACTAGTTATTTTTCAAAACCTTCTTCCTCAACTATACTTTAGACCAGAAAAATTAGTCAGGCGCTTGGGATCGAAATTGGGACCTCCGCCCTGACCAGCGCTCAAGACCACTACTCTACAACCTGAACTAAACCAGACCCATTGCGGGAATATAAACAACCTACCCTGAAAAAGTCCTATCGATTATAGTGTACTACTGAGCGTACTATAAAAGCATATCAGCTAACAAGTAAGATAATTAATAAACTAACAGTACCAAAACTTTGTATCAGTGAATCTTA